AAAGCGTGAAAATATTTGACACAATCATAAGTATCACTATAATTATTATAATAACAACACTTATAATTATTATTCTCATAACATAATCAGTCTCTAGAAATAATCAAGATATTTTATATTGCAATATAAAACAAAATCCTGAGATCTTGTTAGTTACTCAATCTAAATATTAAGGTGGCTCAAGTCGCGGGCTCGAACTCATTGGTGGGCGCGGCCAAAAAGCACGTTGTCTCACCTGGCATCGTGCCCGACAGAGATAGTACCAGTGAAGAGCAGTTAGAACGCACGTCTTGTTCGTACGGCGTTCCGAACCGTTAGAACAAAAACGAAGTTACACGAACACGATGCACACATACATACCACCCTATTCTGTGCCGCTCGAGTCGAGCGGCTCGACGCTTGCTAAGAAATCAGCAGTACCTACCTACAAACTCGTACTAAATTTTTAAATAATTATTTAAATTTAAAATTATTAGGCACTGCGCTACGTTATCGCTTTATACTATACCTCTATGGCTCTATAGATACCTAATATAGGTTGCTTATTTTATTATGTTTTGTTTTCCCCGGGTGGTCATGAAGCGATCACTCAAGAGTTCACGACGCCGAAGCATGAACTGGAACAGTCATCACAATTTATATCCGTACTAGCTGTTGCCAGCGGCTTCAAACGCGTGAACTCGAAAATTATCCCACAGGAACGAAATACCTGAATAAACGGTATCAAAAAATGTGTTATTCCAGACCAGGTATAACCTATCTCTGAGCTAAATATCATCCAGATCCCTCTATCCTCTATCCAGATACATCTATCCATCCAAACTTTCGCATTTATAATATTTAGATAATAATTGTAATTAGTTCTGCCTACTTATAAATTGTTTTCAAAAATACCTGTCTTCTTACTTTTTTATATACACACAATATCACTAGATGTAAACACATGTTTTTATCAAGACAAGTGACCCGTCAAGACTGTTTCCTTAGTACCGACGTAGTTAGGCAGGTAGTAGTAGGTAGGCAAAAACGATTACTACTGAAAAACTAAATAGGTACCTACCTAACATTCAAATAAAAATATTCTCAAAAAGCTCAACCAATTCAGAATTTAATTTTGTTAAAAGAAAATTGGTCAAATAAAAAAATAAAGGATGAAAATAAAGCATATGGGAATATAAAAATAAATCGTATTTATTTGAATAAAACTATTATTTGCGGATTTTATCGCGTTTAATTACTTTAATTTATTTTTATTATTATCCCGACGTTTCGGGTGCTTTACAGCGCCCATGGTCCCCCCCGTGAATAATAGTTTTATTCAATGTGTAGTGTTCGCGTAAATTTAAGAAATCGTATTTATTTGTTATTTCGAGTTTTACAAGAAAAGCATAATATTTACTGGAGAGAATTATTTTATTATTATAATATTACATAATATTCCCTTTAAAATGACACCAATATGAATAATATCTTATATCTATATCTACAAATAAATAAAATTTAAGTGTCTGTTTGTAATGTTAAAATAACAGCTTTTTATTAAATGCATATGAAAGTACTAGTAACAAAAACACATTTTTTAAAATTTCAAACACCACAATCTCTAATTTTTTACTCTGCTATCTTCAGCGCTGTACACGAACGGAACGATGTCGTTGAGAGCCGTGGTAGCTCACATGGTTAGCGCTCGTAATAGGTAGCACAGTACGGGAGCAACCCGGGTTCGATCCCCACTGGCACCAATGAAATTGTTGTGTGCTGATTTAGCTATCAGTTGGAAAGTCTGTTTTTCTGGGCCGTTTTGTTTTGTTACACTGACATCTCGCAAGTCACCTAGGGACCTAGGAGGTTGTCGGTTGCTTATTTTTTATTTTTCTTTAAAATTTTCGTCGGTAAAATAACATATTTATAAAAGTAAAAAAAAAGTAAAGTTACAGCCTATATACGTCCCACTGCTGGGCACAGGCCTCCTCTAATTTCTGAGAGGGGCAAGGAAATGTCCGCCACGCTGCCTCAATGCGTGTTGACGAACTTCACATTTCTTCGAAATATATATTTTTTAATTTCTCAGACATGCAGACCCGAGTTCGATCCCCGCCGGTATCAATGAAATTGTTAATTGCAATTGTGCTGATTTACCACGTGCTCGGCGGTGAAGGAAAACATATTGAGGAAACCTGCACGTCTGAGAATATAATAATATTCGAATGTAAATCAAATTGACATAGGTAAGTACAGATAAAATTAGCGGAACTTTAATAAAATTTTGCGATCGTTTTTTTTTTTCAATATTTTATTTATATATTCCTCTATTTTTGTCTGTGCTTATATCAATTTGATTTAATCCAAAGTTCAAGCAGGGGTCAATGTAGCGTAGTAATTTAGAGCGCAGGTAAAGCTATAATCATACGAACGTCACAGGCCGCAGCTGACAATGACGTCGAATAAAACTAGAATAAGCGCGCGTCACCGCGCATGCATGTGTGTGTAAGTGTCGTCCTCCCGCACCGCACCGAGGGAAAAATTATTCAGTGAGATGCACGATAATTCATATAAACACGCGCGCGTAAAAAAATACGAAAAGGCCTTTGGAAGGAGGGGTTTTATGAAAAACCCACTGCATGAATCAATTACCAATAAAATTTATTGAATTCTTCGATAATTGAGCTGTGTCGGTACCGACTTTGTTTTGGAAATTTTACACTGCTTTTATTACTAATTTACGCCCAAAGTTGTGTTAAAATTGGCAATAAAAACGAATCTTTGGTAGCTCGTAACTTTTTACTGACTTTTTATTTTACTATTCTGTTTCGGTACAGACAAAATTAATAATGAGACAAAACGATATCATGTTTAACTGTGGATGTACACTGTCAAACAGCGGAGTAAAACCCCTCCGAAATTTCTATGGAAATAATGTCGACTAGAGTCACCTTAATATCACAATCTTCGATGTCTGAATCCGGTAGACAATCTTTAACATTTGTTGCGCGTGGAATGTTCACAAATGCATGTTTGAAGCAATTAGGAATAACTTTGTCCACGCAAAGTTTGACTAAATCGTCATATTTAGCTTTTGATATGGGAAGTTGCGATCGATAACAAGGTAAAAGAGATACCTTGGTTTTAGACTGAACTTCAATATCAAAGGAAGCCGCAGTAGGATTCATAGATGTTTTATATTTAACGCTTTGCTTGTCTTTTCTGAAAGTCATAATTCGGATCTTGCTTATTTTTCCAGTTAAGTTGCCTTTATAATATTTGTCACTAATACTATCCCATCTATAAAAATCTTCATAACTCAGTCTTTCTACCTCGAAAGGCGCTGGTTCTTGTCTAGCAGTTGCAAAAACTGTAAACCATTGTGATGGTGCGTAAACAGTTGTATTCTTTAATCTGTTTTCAATAATAGCATGCACTGTATCTACGGGCATGTAAGTGTGTCCAGTCAAGAGAAAGTTTATTTGAATAGTGTCGATATTTTTACACTCCTGTAATGATGAATGCAACATTGCCAACACAATTTTATACGTGGTAGAGCCATGCTGCAGTTATATTAGTAGTATAGTTGTAGCACGAATGGGTCGGCTCGACCGGGGAAGGACCACGCTCTCACAGAATACCAGCGTGAAATAGTAGCTTAATGCTGCTGTATTTCGTATGGTGAGTGTAGAGAACCGGAGACCCTTTTTACTGGAAACGAGGCATTCCATCTTAGTCCTCACGGGTGACAACGCATCTGCATTTTGATTCGTAATCGAGGATAGATGTAGATGTCTATGGGCCACAGCAACCACTTACCATCAGGTGGACTGTGTGCTCGTTTGTCACCCTATCCTATAAAAAAAAAAAAAACAGTACGGTTACGGTTTTGGCCCGGACAACAGTCACAATACAGAAGTAATCGAGTGCCGTTTCCTCTGGCATCTACCGATTGAATATATTTGTGTAATATTGATGCAATCTTGTTAGCGCCACGCTTACCATTGCTCTCATCCCAGTAGTAACACAAAACTTTACGAGTTCCATTTTCATAAACACACAAATTGTACACAGCTAGTTTTCTACTGTAGTACAAAAGCATAGATTGTGCATAGGGTGTGTTAAGTACTTTTTCGAGATCAAAACTAGCACAAAGAGTTGAAGGATCATCCTTATGAATATTTTTGTGAACTTTAAAACGGGCATAACTTTCTTCTTTTTCTGTTTATGTTTTCCTTTTCTCTTTGCTTTTCGGGATTATTATTATATTCGTATTGAAGACACTTAAGGCACTTATCTTTTTTTAGGTACATGGAATCCAATGTTAAAATTATCTTGAAATATTTTACGAAAAATTCTATCACTTACTACGTCCACACCCTGACTCACGTAATGCTGCTTGTAAAGTTTATACAAGTTGGTGACATTTTTGTATTCTTGGGGAAGGTAAACTTTGCTTGAGTCTTGACGACAATAGTGCGAAGGTACAGCTGGTAAATTTTTGATGAACCTGAACCTGTCAACGGTATCTATAGTGGATTTTTTAGTCTTATTTGGTGGCTCACATTTCCCTCTCATATCTTCTCGTGCACATCCCCAAGAAGCATTTTTTACTATACTGTAAATTGTTTTATCAGAAATGTTCAGAGTGGCTGCTAAAAATTGTTGGCAAACAAATCTTCTACCTTCTTCGTTGATAAAATATTTGATAGTGTAGTAGCGCTTATTAGAATCGGTGCGTTTCCGTTTAATATTTTCTTTTTGAGACGGGGATACCATAACCAATCACGGCGACGTGTTTTGTCAAGATTCCAAAAAAAATTAAATAAGCTTTCTCTTCTTTCTTCAGACAGAGACCCGCAGTCATTGCCACATTTCTTGCCAGAACAAGGATTAGCCAATACAGTTTTTGCTGGTACAACGACACCCTTATTTGTTATATATTGTTGACCAGAATTTTTGTTTTTTGACCGTTCTCTTCTTGAATTGGATTTTTTATTCTCCTCGAGATTCTCCGACTACATCATCTTGGGTATTGGCATCGTCTTTGATTTTGACACCTTTTTGGTGTACCTTTTATTTCTTTTAACTTTTTGTTCCTCTGACAGCAAATCATCTTCTGATGTTATTCCTTCTTGTCCTTCTGACCAATTATCTGAATCAGCTATGTCACCATAAAAAGTAGAAAAGTCTTCTTGATCTGACATATAGTCAATATATTTAATATCTTTCTTGGATTTTCTTTTACCAACTTTACTTTTAATTGGATTTGATACGATAGATTCTTTGCTTGGTCCTGCCGATGTAGACGGTACATCATGATCTGACGTAAGTGATGTATATTGTGTGTTTTTCTCAACTTGGTGATAATTCAAAGTCGGTTCTACAATATCTGGTTCAGCAGTTAAAGTGATATTAAATTCGTGATCAACCGATATGCTTGTAGCATTAATCGATGCAGTTATTTCAGTGTGATCTGTTGCGGTGCATATTAAACTATCGGCAAGAACCGGAAAAGCTAAATCTTTCGAAGTGTCAATGCTGATAGAAGCTGGCTCTAACGTTTTGTTAAACTGCTTTGTATTGCTATTAGTTGACCAAGCCGCAGACTGCAAAAAAAAAATAATTCGATGATGTCAGATTTATGCTGAGTATTTTTACTAAGTGAACTTACAAGATAAATAAATAGGTACTGAAACAAATTATAAAAAATTGGTTACTTACTGTGTTTAGATCATAACTCAATCGTCTTCGACACTGCGGAACATTCCTTGTTATGCCGGCATTGACCAACGCCATCTCGACTATGGATGAACTACGTCGTTTCCGCTCGCGACTCATTTTTTGCTGCAAAGTAAAATAAAATTGACTTAAAATGAGTACTTTATTCTATCTAAAACGTAATAGTTTAAAAATAATCCGAAACGAAATGCTGTTTTGAAATAGGTACTACCTTTGCATAATTTGATTGAATACTTACCATGTTTCATTTAATGCGCGCCAAAATGTGAAGTACGTCCTCCCTAAGCGACGGCGGGCGCCTGAATAAGAACCCATATAGACGTGTCACGACACGTGTCGCGATATGTCGCGCATACCTACACGACGTTTTTTAAACTCGAGCAGTTCCTTAGCGACGAGAAAATAAATTTTGCGTACGAGTAAATTTATCTACGCGCCATACTTAGCCATTTAGCAAATCCAGTAAGACTATCTAACCGACATCATTAATATTAACCGTTAACAAATAAAAATATCTAAGGATAAAAAAGAAATATTATGTTATACATGTAAAAATACCTAAGCTCTAATATTCTTAATTTTTTTTTTCAGGTTAACTTATACAAATGACACTGTCACAAAATAAAATAACAAGTTAAAATACATAACCACATAAATTACAATTGCTTTGTGTAGGTTAAATCTACTAAGTGGTTTCAAAGGAAAATTTCATAACAAGTAAAAATACGTAAATACAAATAAATGAAAAAGTCAATACATGAAAAACCGACTAAGTTCATATTCCTAGTTGTTAGAATGTCGTAACTGCTGGATATTCTTAAAATCACTATTTTTTGGTCGTTTAGTAAATACAAAATGTAGATTTAACCGAAATCATGCAATATCTAAGCGACAATAAAACTCGCCGTAGAACTATGAGACCTAGACCAAACTACGTAGAAAAATCTGGCGGTTCGAATGGTATATATAACTCATTTTACGGATTTATGTCGGTTAGTAAGGATTGCCTTTCAAGCGTCGATATTGAAAGCGACAAATGTATCAATTTTGATAATAATGTGATAAATACGTTTCGTTTATAATATAAGTAGGATTTATAAGAATGGTTATTACGTGTTTTATTAAAAATCTCAATAATTTTAATGGACGCCACGCACATACAAAAACTGACCGTGAGTGTGGAATCTTAAGTTGAAATTTTCAACTGACGACAAGCCACGGGTTTTTGACGTGACAACGTCTTATAAATTGGTTTGCCGGGTGACACTTCAAGAAACTGCGTTACGCTCCGCTCACGTTATGCGCTCACAATCAGAGCGAGTGAGAGGCACGCGTCCCTTCCACTCGGGCATGGTTAGCCCGCCTAAGAGCGAGAGAGACAGACATAAAAAGTGAAAGGCACGCGTCTATTTCAAGTTATTGTATGTATATTTGTATATAAATACGTATGTATGTTTAAAGGTAAAAATAAAATTTTGTTAATATGAAATTCAGTGCGAGATTCTTTGTATAAATTAATGTTTTAAATATAATTCTTTGTATAAATAAATGTTTTAAATTGTTACTATTATTTCATCCTTCTTCCTACTATACGAATGAATATTCACATTAAAATTATTTTACCACTCAAAGTCGTTGTCACGTAAAACTTTCGCCCGTATACCGACTTTACAGGCAACCAATATTTTTTTCGGTCGCACTGTCAGTTGAAACTGCTCAGTCGTACTGACGTAAATCCAAAACTGATAGTGAGTGTGAAATCTTATGTTGACATTTTTAATTGATGAAACTCCACGGAGTTTTCCAGGTGCGCCGTAATCCACTGGCTTCAGTTCGTTTTAATTACTCGTAACTACTTTCTTAGTAGCTACATACATTATGTCTATGCTATTGTTACGAGCTTAGGGTTTGTGACAATAAGAATTGCCGATAGAATTACCAAATTAACACTTTAATTCACTTTACACTAATTAAAACTTAAAAGACACTAATAATTAATCACACTGATTCACTTTATTTCGCTCCGATGCTTCGCTTTTCTCGCCAAATTCAATAGCTTTTTTTTGCGCCCGAAGCAAATATGGGCAACCCTCCGAAAAGCGGGGGAGGGAGGTGATGAATGCTCATATCATACCACGCAGCCGGCTGCGAGGTTATGTGGAGACTTTTACCCACTAAAACCCACCTTTTAGGGACTGGCTTAACGATCTAACTAGAGATCTCTAAGCCGTATACTGACGCGACCCTCCTTGGCAGAAAGGAGGGCGCAAGCGGCGAAAAGCCGCTTAGAAGTGTGCTTAACTAAGGTAGATTAAGGGAAAAAGCCCCCAGATTAAGGGAAAAATGGGAAAGGCCCCGATCGCGTATTGCAACGCCTTTAAATACGTCTTTTCACCGAAACATCCATAATATTCAAGTAAATGCGCAGCCGCATCAGCGCAAAGCAGGAGTGGAGGAGCGGTCCAAGCAATGACGCGCGACCCGAACGCAGGCAGATGCGGAGGGCAGACCTAGTATATATACAGTAATCTGTGCGGCAGAAGTCGTTGATGGTTCTCGAAGAGATTTATTATTTATTAGTACAGTAGGTAGGCATAATTATTATTTTTAGTTCGTATAATTTAAATATAGATTACTTATTATTTTAATTTCAGTTGTTTTACAATTATTTTATTTTTGTTTATTTGATTATATTTATTTTATTATTTATATACTATATATTATATACTTACAAATACAACGTAAATAAACTACAGTACCTAAATATAGTAAGTACAGTTTAATACAGTATGAGTTAAAACAGTATAATATTAATAGGATATTATAAACGCGAAAGTTTGTAAGTATGGATGGATGGATGGACGTAAAAACTACTGAATAGATTTTAATGAAATTACTGAATATTCCAAAATGAAATAATGAAAGCAATGAAAAGCATGAAAGTAGGTAAGGCAGCCGGATATGATAGAGTTTCACTCGAAATGCTTAGGGCTGGAGAGGACGTGGTGGCAGGCCTGCTGTACACCTTGTTTAATTTATGTTGGGAACTAAAGCGGGTACCGGGAGACTGCTGCAAAGCCGTGATAATCCCAATATATAAGGAAAAAGGATCACAGCAGGACTGTAAAAACTATCGTGGTATCAGCCTTCTTAGCATTGTGGGAAAACTGTATGCTAAGGTACTAATTGAAAAAGTTATGAAAGAAACTGATGAAAAAATTTGGGATGTGCAAGCGGGATTTAGAAAGGGAATGGGGTGTACTTATAGATCAATTCTTTTCCATGCGCATGATCGCGGAGAAGTTTTTGGCGAAAAACCAAAAAGTTTTTTGTGCGTTCATGGACTTGGAAAAGGCTTATGACTGAGTGGACAGGGATGTGTTATGGCAAACGCTGAACGCATTTAGGTTGAGCGCTGGTTTAATAGAGGCATTAAAGTCTCTGTATAGGGACTCGAGTGCTTGTGTTAGAATCAACGGGGCCTACTCGGACTGGTTTGGCATCCATAAAGGTGTCAGACAGGGCTGTGTAGCTTCCCTGTGGCTGTTCGACCTATTTATGGACAGTTGTTTGGAAAATTTGAAAGTTGAAGAATGCGGGTTACGAATGGGTGAGTTAACCATCAAATGCCTTTTGTACGCCGATGATCAAGTCATACTTGCGTCGTCGGAGGCCGAGTTGCAAATGATGGTTACATTAATGAACAGGTCATTAAAAGAAAGGGGAGTGAAAGTGAACGCAAGTAAGACGAAAGTGATGGTTTGAAAGAGGTTGAAAGAGAAGAAAGCAAAACGGTATGCGAAATAAGAATAGAAGGAGAGTTAATTGAGCAAGTGGATGAGTTCGTATATTTGGGACGTGTATTCAGCAGGGACGAGAGATATGATAAGGATATTACACGACGAGTGAATGCAGGAAATAAAGTAAATGGGGCTCTACACTCTATTGTGAAAAGTCAGAATGTGTCAAAAAAGGCACGTATGGCAATTCACAATGCTGTATTAGTCCCTACTTTAACGTATGGTAGTGAAAGTTGAGTGTGACAGCAGAAGCACGAGAGTAGAATAAATGCAGTAGAAATGCGGTCGCTAAGGAGTATGTTAGGGCTGAATCTGAGTGACAGGGTGAGAAACTGTGTGATAAAAGAAGAGTGTGGTTTGCAAGATGATGCGGTGACCAGGATTGAGAAAGGAATGCTTCGGTGGTTTGGTCATGTAGAAAGAATGAATGAGGAAAGACTGATAAGCAAATATATGTTGCAGAAGTGAATAGAAGAGTCGGAAAGGGACGTCCTAGGCGGAAGTTTGTCGACCAAATTGGCGATATACTAAAAATGGGCCAAATTAAGAGTAACCTTAACTAATGAGCATGTATGCGTAGGTATATGGATGTGGAAGAGGCGAGAGAGGTATGTCAGGATCGTGCTAAATGGAAGTCTGTAGTCTCTGCCTACCCCTCTGGGTGACAGGCGGGAGTGTTTATGTTTTATGTTGTCCAAAATATGACGATAAGTGTCAAGTAAGTAGGAAAAAATCTACCAACTGCTTAGTCTAGTCTGTCCTTGAAAATTTTTAATGTAAAAGCATTGAGTTATATATTACACTAGATTAGTACATAATTACCGCGCCAAAGCGTTGCCACTGCACATATGGCCACAGACATATGCCTAGCTAATGTCTGATCAGTGTTCATTACATGGAGGTTAGCTACGCTCCATGGTTCAATGTTACGCCGACAGAGTAATTCGAAATTTTCATAGCGTGATTTAGGCTTAGATTCGTTTCACTTGTGACGCTACGATGATGCTGCCACAAGATCGATTTTCTTGATAAGAAGTATCGCTTTTTGATTAATAGCTCAGGGCGTAATCACATTCACATCCCTTTTGTCAACTGTCACTGTCAGATGTCAATCTGTCAAATTGTTTTTGTATAAATATAAAACTTATGAAATCGTAAAATTAAAACCGATTAAAACAAAATAGAATATTAATACATATATCTTTTATATTAATTTATGATCAAATGTAATAATGTAAACAAACGATATTGTCTATAAACTTTGTGACACATCTTGTGTCCATTGCAATTTGCCAGAGTGGAACAAAAATTAATTCTTTGTTTCTTTTTAATAAACTGTTTATTTATTTTTTAAATAATGCATGAAGCATATGAAGTATCTCACTTGCTTAATGCAACCGTCCAAATAGAAGCAATTGCAGCTTACGGTGAGTTATATACC